AAACCGCTTAGAGAGGGCTGAAAGCCCTATGAAGTGGTATATAAGTCTAACTGCTATTGCTATTGCTATTTATTGATGGACGGAGAATTTAATGCTTATTTTTCCTGTGTGGAACACTGCAAAATTAAAGCTGTGAGAATAAGGAAGATGACCTTGAAAGAAATATGAAAGAACCAATATCCAGGCATGAAGGACTGAAATGTTATTTAAATCATGGGAAGAAAATTTTTGCAAGTAACTCAAGTAAACAACTCCCTTATACTCAATGGAGTATAAGAAAGAAGGAAAGTAAAGCACAATCAGACTCACAAGAGTCTGTTATTATAGCCTACCTCAATAAAATATAATTAGATCTAGTTTTCTGTGGAACTGATTTTGGTATGGTCTACTTCAGAGTTCTCCAAACATTTCAGTCTGAAGGCCACATAGGACATTTTGCAAACATTTGAGAGGCCAGAGGGAAAAAACCCAATTCTTGATTTTATAAAATAATAATTGAATGAATGTGTTTTATTTTGCTCAACGTGATATGATTCACAGCAACAGCAAAAAAAAGAAACCTATTAACTACAAAGAAACAATGTTGTTCTTGTTATATGATATAAGAAAAACTTCAAACATAAGCAAACACTGAAGAAATAATAAATTAATAACTGCAGATGAGAAAAAAAGGCTATTCTTTTTTCAATAAATGTTATTTATCGGGACTTAAAAGTTTACAAATTTACATTAAATGTGAATTTGCACATAAAACAAAAACAGAAAAGCTATGCTGGAATCACTCTTTCCCTCTTTGTAAGCAAAGGAAGCAACCTTCCAGCCAGCTAGAATGGGACGACGCACAGTGGCCAGGTGGGCATGGCTGGGTGGTCGCAGCCAGGTTGCTGAAACTAGATGGAGGCGATGGGGTGGATGTGGCGTGGCTGACTTGATATGGCCAGGTGGATGTGGCTTGGTAGACATGGCTGGGTAGGTGCGTGGCACGACAAAACCGCGCTCGACTAAGCCGCGCCCGATTAAACCGCATCGCTGACGTCATCAACAGGGCGACAACAGCGCAGAGACAGAAGCACGCTGTAAACGCTAAACCTAAAATTAACCCCTAAACCTAAACCTAACCCCCCTAAACCTAATCCTAACCCTAAGCCTAACCCTAACCCTAACCCTAACCCTAACCC